CGAATGAGGCAAAGGCACCTCCTATTTCACAATTTTGTAGAGGCGATTGAAAATCTTTTAGGAAGGATTTAAGCTAATTTATAATAGGGGTTCTATTTTAAATCTTTTCAACAGATTCCGAAAACGTTTTTCAAAGACATTTTAATGAGATAAGAGAGAGAGACCTGATGAAATTGAAGATTTACAAGTATTTTAGGACAGAATAATTAGTCTAAGCTAAATTGGGACACCCCATGGTTTTCCCATTTCTCTGTCCTCTGGTCATCACCGAAGATCTATATCTCTGCCTGAAGGGGTTTAATTTCCTACCCGGATAATTCCCCTTTCGAACAACTACAATCGACTACAATCTTGCGACTACAATCTTGCAATGTGATATAAGAAGAGGAACAAATTGTTCATCTTGTCTCTTTGCTTATGGCTGTGGAAAAATAAATAAATAAAGATTTATTTAGGTATCATGGATTCTCTGCATTATGGTCTATCCCTTAAATATTGAATGCTTTTGTTTCAATTCTGGCCTAACTTAAAAAAAAAATTAATTAAAAAATTAAATAAAACTCACAAGTAAAAAAAAAATTGTTGATGCTGATCGATTTTGCGTTTTTTTGAAATAATGCTCCGATGGGATTCGTCATCTTTGCCTTTCCCAAGATAAGCCACTGACTGAGTTCAAAATTTTACAGCTACATAGTTGAACACTGCTAGTCGCAAACCCAAAAATGTGTCGGTTTTTCCACAACGGTTATAAAGTAAAATAATTATTAGAAAATATAAAATTAATTTAAAATTAGGACAATTTAGTTAAATAAAAGTACTTATTTAAAAACATACATATAGAAACGGTTCATACCAGCGCCCCTAGCTACGTTCGATGATATTTCCAGTCATGAGCTCCTATGCAATTCTTAAATCTCATGATGTGTCCTAGAAACTCCTAGAGTCTCCACTAGAATCTCCCCTGTGTCCTAGAATCTCCCCTGGAAAGTTTGTCGGTGAGGTAGTGATCTACCATATTACTAGCCGCTTGCTGCAACCAACTGGTAAACCCTTTCCAACTCACCACTTCGTGCTTCTACAACACATTTGCATTATCCTTTGCCTGCATGAATTCAACGCTTAACGTTGGTACCTGCTGCCTTCGACAATATTGCTTCTAATCTTGAGCATTAATATTTTACAGGCAATTGGGCAAATCGGCAGCCAGTTGACCCGCCTGTACAAACTCGCCTCCTTGTCGTCCTCCGTGATCGTCCACGATCACGAACTCAATTCTTCGCAGTTTAATAACAGAAAAGCTGGAATCAGCTTTACTGTGCCAAACACTTGGTAGTAATTAAAAGGAGATAATTATTTGCCATTATTGACAATTAGGCTTTTTTTTTAAAAAATTCCAATGGCACATGAACAAGGTACAGGACAAATACAGAATAAAAACAAATACAGGACAAAGACAGAGGAGGAACAAAATCATAAGAGAAAAACATCAAAAAGTTCAAGAGATAGCCGAAGGCTTTCTCCCCAAGAGTCTTCTAGCTTCCCCATACCTAGATTTATCAGTGTCTTCAGGGAGAGCTACACAGGTACTCATGTGATGTTTGTCCATGGGCCCATTCTTGTCACACAAGGGACAGGCAGCCTCATTAAGAATACCAATGCGGTTCAGATGAGCGGCAAGATAGTCGTGTCCAGTAAACAGGCCAAAAGAAGCCACTGCCTCCGGTCTTAGTTTATAAGGTATATTCAAAAAGAAATCTTTTCCGTATTTAGTTTCAATTTTATACATAAGTTCATCTTGGTACGTCGACTGCATAAATTGCTTAATATAAAGTTTAGAATTGTGGAAAGATGTTTCTCGTTTGGTACAGTGAAGCATGGCACCCCTTTTGTCAAAAAAATACGCTTGGTCATTACCAAATAAATTGCAGTGGCCAGGAATCCACTGACTGCAAAACAATACGTTTGTGCCGAGATCTCAATGTAATCAACAGTTCTTGACATTGGGAAATCTCGTTTGATTGTGGAGTCCGAATAAAGCTGATGGACTGGATTGCAGCCTGTGACTATGACCAAAACAAAAAAAGTTTACAGAGATTTATTGCCATTATGGAAGTTCTGTTAATATTAAAATTTATTTCGTATTATATATTCTTTAAACTAACCATTTAATGTCTGATTTTTTATTATTTTATAATGTTCATCTAATGACGTATTTATCTACGGAAAAAAACTATTTAATAATTTATTTCAGGAGCTAAATTAATAATGCAAGAGCTAAATTAATAATGCAATTAATATTGCAAGTACAATGCAAAAAAGAAAACAACCGCCAGCCTAAAAAACTCATGAGGATATGATTTGAATAATATAAAATTAATTTCGAATATTACTAATTGTGTTTTGGTTCAATAACAAACTACACTAAAAGTCAATTATAACCGTAATTCAAAATAACAAACAAAATTGTCGTTATAGCCAACTTGTCTTATAACCAATACTCACAGTTAGAGCTAAAATGTAAATGTCTTTACTTAGTACGGCATTCTCGTCCCCACCCTGAACTTCCACTAGCATCAAAACTCAAACAAATTAGCAACTAACTAAAAGTAGCCAAAATATAAGTTTTGGTAAAATACAAGAAAAAAAGAAGTGCAATCGTTTTTACTTCACAGATTATACTAAATATTGATTTCAATGGTGAACTTTCAAGATGGGAAATAGGCGACAACAAAAAGCGCATTCTTTTGAATTCTGCAGCTGGATTTCCAAAATGTTTTCTTCAAAAAATAAAGCAATTTTACCGGTGGTAGCCAACAACATGTGTGCTTCATTAAGATTGCTTTAGGATTTAAAGGAGAAAACAAAGTGAAATGGTGCTCTTTTTTCACTTTTATAAATTGATACCAGAAATGAATAAAATAAGAATGAAATAAAATATTTATTTCAATTGCGTGTAATATTTCTCATTTAAGCAGCAGAAAAATTTATTTCCCTTAAAAAAAACTGTCAAAATAAGCGAAAGACTATAGTAATTCTTGACTCGTTATAAGCATATAATTTTTGTGCTTTAAAGTTTTCTACCTGAAATATACGCTTTTATTCAAGACATTCACAGAAATAGCAAAACAATAAGATTTTTTTCTGAAGATGGTAAAAACCATAGTTCTTTTTAAAATACAATAAAAACTTTAGAAAAAATATCTTTTTATATGGACAGTGAAAGAAGGTTTTTCCCAAGGCAGTAAAAGCCTCACATGGTAAATACCATTCCAACCTTGATTGCACATTACTGATCAAATTTAACCACCCTCTTCAAAATTATAATTTTTTTAATTAAAATTTTCTTTCATTCCCCTCTTAATTACTTTTTTCTGCTTTTCTATTACATTCAGCAATTTTCCAGAGTTTTCCAAATTCTTAATTATATATATATATTTAATTTCTATTTCAGGTGACATAAGTTTTTATTTAAAAAAATCCAATTTTAGCTATGTATATGGGTGTGTAAAAGATTTTTAAAAGTTTTTTTTTTGGATTCATGTACCCAAAGAAATGTGGAATTATTTGGACGACGATGCGCCATGTCATCGCGAACAATTAGGGCACGTGCCCTAATATTTCGCGAATGGCTTGAAGAACATTATGGACAATTCCAGTGAATGATTTGGCCACCTAGATCACCCAACGTGAACCCCATAGAACATTTATGGGATATAATCGAGAGGTAAGTTCGTAAACAAAATCCTACACCCGCAACACTTTCGCGTTTATGGACATCTATTGATGTTGGGAAGGGGGTCTGAAATTGTCTTTCGGGTCACACAGGGTCCTTTCTTCAAGCTTGTGTTGTCCCGCAGTGGACTGATCGATAAGACACGATTCCCATCAGATCACCGAAGTCAAGCATCACTGGATGCGGGTGGGTGACACCGTGAATTAGTCTGCCTAGGGACCGAGGGTGGGTGGTATTGGTCCTCATTAAACTGTTCTACCGTAAAGTGCTCGAGTTCGCGTGCAAGTCGTCGGGCTACCGAAGCGGGAGTGCCACTCCTTCTGCAGAGGATCAAAATTGTGATGGCCTGTCTTCGGATCATCCTTAGGGATGTTTCCCAGACCGTCGCCAATAGCCCATTGTGCAGCTCTAGTGCGACGTAAATGAACTACAATTACAACAACATCAAGCTTGTGTTACTAAATAACAATTTTCCAGAGCACCCTATAATGCAACCCGTTTCAAATTCTTTGTGAGTAAAACGATTTTGTTTCTATGCATAAAAAATAATTGTGTTTGTCTAAAATAAAAGCATTCGTACATTTTGTTTTTCATAAAAAAATTGTAATCTTTATACTTTTTTTAAAATGATATTAGTTTCTGCCTTTCCGTAGTCTTATGTGTTATATTTAATTTGTTTTCCTTATCACCAGCACACGTTCTACCCCATACTTGGTTGAGGACAAGGTAAAAAAAATATCATTTTTAATAAAACTTCCTTTCTTTTCTTACCCTTCTTTTATAATGTTTTTTAATTAATTTATTTTTATTTTATTCTAAAAAAATATACTTTTTTTGTTTTCCTAAAATATCATGGTATTTTTAAGAATATGAAACTATAGAGTTTTTTTTAGTATCATTTGTAGCTCTTTAATTAATTATTTAGTTTTTTTGAAATATATTTGAAATTAAGTTCTCCGTTCTGCCTCGCTTTTTCTTAAATAATTTTAAGCCTACATGAAATTTTTTTATAGAAAATTTAACAACTGTTTGCTTAAATAAGATTTAAAGAATAATCAAATAAATAAAAACGAAGCAGTCTAAAATATGAATCAATTTAAACTAATCAAACACAGATAAAGTATTGTAAACCTGACTACTGACTAACTACTAAAACCTTTCTCATAGTTGCACAAAATATCCACTAGATGGCTACTCAATCTCTAAAGGTTCAGAAACAAGAATGAACACCTCCACTTCATTTATGACATAAAATGGCAACAATACACATCCGCAAAAACCAGTTTTTCTGTTTATCCAATCATTTTTCTTCCGGTCTTAAGCTTGGTTAGCTTCTCTGCCATACTGTATTCACAAAGAACAATGATCCCGACTGATTGGTTTTTCTTTTATTTGGGCATTTGATGACAACAATCGAGAGCGCATTCCACTTCTGCGATTTTATCAAGTTATGAAGTTTTAGAAATTGATTTTAATATAAGAGGTAATATTATGATATGCGTCTTAAGAATTTACTGTTTGAATTTTCTTTGTCTTTTTCAAATTATCTTTACAGATGCGATAGATAGATGAGGCTGAATATTGCTTACTGTATCATTTTATTATTTGTATTTTCGGGATTAATTTCCGATTTTTATTTTCGGGATTTTTAGATAAACATATGTTCTTAAATGCTGTGTTTAATCGAGTTATAATTATTATTACACGTGCAGTAACTGTCATTTTTGCTTGAGCGGGCATTCTATTACGCCATAAAAATCAGATTAGGGTTTAATGACACCCCGCCTAATAAGACATTGCTTCCTAACTTTAATTTAAAAGCAATTTTTATTTCTCCAATTTTGCTTTTATTTACCATACATATCGTCTAAATATCTTGATTTTTTTTTTTAAAGAATTTCGAATAATCTAGTGTTTTTTCATTTTAGTATAATGCCTTGAATATTCTTAGCTGACCTTTTTCATTCAGTCATTAAAAACATTTTTTTATATATATATTTTTGTATTAAAGATGTATATCAAAAAATGATGCAACTATTGATAGCGCAACAACAGAAAGTGATTTCAGTAATGCGTTTTGGTTGATAAAGTATGGCTAATAGTATGAAAGTGGTAATAAATATTTTGGTGCTTTTATGATTATTTTTTTTCACATCCTTATAAGCTATTTTTTTTGATTCTGTTATATTCATCTTTTTGGTTTATCTTGTTTGATAAACATGCATGGTTTTGATAACAGAATCTACAATGCACTATCAATGTTTTATTAAAAATAATATATGTAAGACAAGGATACCAGGTGATATGGCTTCAAGTCACTTTGATTAATTTAATAAGTACATTACATTGATATTAGTCGAGAACAAGGTGTAAATAAATAATGATAATCATTATTTATTTAAAACAATATATATAATGTAGTATATTACAAATATTAATTAGATAAAAGAAATGAAACCTTTTATGTTAGGAAGTAATGTGTCTTTTAGATAAATTCATGTACTTTTAAAAAATATCTTACTGACCTTTTACATTCAGTGCTTAAGAACATTTTATATTTCATTTTATGTTACAGTATTTTATGCATTAAAGATGTATATTAAAAAAGGACGAGATTGTTGATAGCGCAACAAAAGAAAGTGATTTCAGTAATGATGTGTTTTATTTGATTAGGTATGGCTAATAGTAAGAAAGTGGTAATAAATATTTTGGTGGTTTTATAATTTCTTTTTACATCCTTATAAGCTACTTCTTACTATTCTGGTTTATCATGTTTGATAAACATGCATGGTTTTGGTAACAGAATATACAATACGCTATCAGTGTTTGTTTTATAATAATTTGAGACAAGGATACCTGATGATATGGTTCCAAGTCACTTTGATTAATTTGACACAGGGTTGAAGTTTTGGATGTCCTAAACTGGTTTTGGACAGGACAAGTGGGTTTTACTGTCCTAAGTTGTCCTGAACTGACTAAAAATGTCTTAAAGTGTCCTGAAACTTGAACACTGGTAAAAGGTAAAAATTCTATATGTGCTTTTTACGAAATTTGCTTAAACTTATTAAATAAAAGAAGATAATATAACAAGAAAAGATTTATAACTTTCGACGCTCCACAATTCATTGAACAACAAAAGTGAATACCTTGTCCTTTAAATATGAATGTATATGCTTTTAATACTGTTCAATTATGTTTTCGGGTAAGGATAAATAATGCAATATTAAAAATAATAAACTTTTTTAATAAAACAAAAAATTGTCTTCATTTTGTTTCTTGATCAAAAATTAACAATTTTTCACTAAATTATGATATAATTTGAGTTAAAGGGTTTTGGACGAAGGGGTTTTGAACAAAACGGATTAAACCCTGGTTGAAAACGTGGATTATTCCATTCTGTCCTAAAATTTGCCAACTCTGATTAGGGAGACCCGGGGTAATTCACGATCACTCCGTTTCTGGGGTAAATAATGATCACTTAAGTTTTATTTTTTAAAAAATATTTTTTTTAAAATTTGAGACCTGGACAAGAATGCTTGTACACTTTACTAAAGTATAACTATATTTACTTAATAATAGTTTTTTCTTTAATCTAACAAAATAAGTATCTTTTAAACTGCTTTCTGTATTTTCCATTTCAAAGATAGGTTTCAAAATGTGCACATTTCTGCAAAGATCTCCCCCTTCTCTTAATAATAAATATTTTGTGCTACTTTCTTTTTCTTTTATATAAAAATAGTATAAGCTTTCGTTTAATTGTTTCACATTTACTGTAAACATTATAATTGATTATAGGAAACTATATCAAATGTTGCCCCCTACAGATGGGAGAATAATTGATCACTGGGTAATTCCTGATCATTGTCATTTCTTATAAATAGTATAAAAAATAGCTAATAAATAGGTAATTGTCTTTTCTTAAAACCGAAATCAAATATCAGTTCATATTTATTAAGTGGAACAACTATAAAATATATTTTAACTGTTATCACAAAATTTGTGTTTAACAGTATACAAGACATGTGTTCTGATTTGCACCATTACTAGTTTGTCTTACCTTGCTTCTATCTTAATTTTATGTGTACACATTGTTAGAATAATTTTTAGGTTTATAAATTAGCCTAATAAATAGGGTGAGAAATTATAAGCCTAAAAAGGATACTAAGCTTCTAGAAAGCAAAATTAGTGAATTTCTTTTAATGATTGAAAATTAAAATTTCAGCGTCAGAGCTGTTGACATACCTTATTAAAAAATCCAGCAAATGTAACCCATGTGGGAACTCTTTCTTATATTCCAGCAGAACATGAGAATGAGTAGGCTGCTTGCCTAAAATGCATGGCACGATGCAAAAATAAATCTTTTTTATTAGCTGCTTAAACATTTCCTTTTTTTTATTTGTTTGATCTTGATGTCTTATTTGTTAATTGCCATTGTATAATAATTTTTAAACAGCCCCTTTACCATAAAAACTGGTGATCAGGAATTACCCCAGAAATGATCAAGAGAAGGGGTAATTCCTGATCACGAAAAATTTAAAATCTTTTAAATTCTAATTAGATTTTCAAAAAAAAGAAGGCAGCATAGCACTCATCTCATATAGCCTCAAACTTCCAGTAAATATTAAAATTCTATCTTGAATAGGTTTTTCACAAAATGGATGTTTGCATTTTTTGATCAGGAATTACCCCAGGTCACCCTAACAAGTATGTTACATTGATATTAGTAGAGAACAAAGTGTAAATAAATCAGGGTTGGCAAGGTTTAGGACAGAATGGATTAATCCACGGTTTAAACCGTCCTGTCCAAAACCCTTTTATCAAATTATGTCACAATTTTATCTGAACAATATCTAAGAGGTAAAATAAACATAGAACTAATAACATATTGATAATTAAATATACTAGAGAATATTTGTTTTTAAAAGTATAATGTTTTATTAATATTGTTTGACTCTTCAATTTAAACAAAGGAAGATTAATCAGTAATCAAGTTCAATTGGTCCTCTCATTCAATAGTACATAACTGAAGTTTGGCCTTGCCATACAGGTTAAAATATTAGGGACTAAGTGCTTGGTTCGTCATAAACAGGTTTATTTATCTATAGTACTATTCAAGAATACTTTTATTTCATTCATGTTCAATTCTTTTAGCATAGTGGTGATACATCACCAGTGTCAGTAACTGAAACTGATGTTATGCCCTTCAAAACTGTTAATACATTTTTCAGTTATTTTGTATTTTCAATTTAAACTAATATATTTATATTTAAAAACAATTTTTTTTAAAAAAGATTTCTTTTTTATCATCCTGTGATGCAGAAATTATAACATTTTTTTAAAAAAATATTGTGAAAAATAAAAGGTTAATTTTTGAACAAATTTAGTATTTTTTTTAAGAAAAATTATTATTTTTTAATATTGCCATATTTATCCTTATGCAAAAATATTATTTATCAGTATTAAAAGCATATTTATATTTAAAGGATTAGGTATTCACTTTTGTTGTTCAATGAATTGTGGAGCTTCAAAAATTATAAACCTTTTCCTATTATATTATATTATTTTCTTTTAATAAGTTATAGTAAATTGTATAAAAAATATCAAATATTTATTGATACATGTAATTATTATGTGTACAATGGTTACACCTATAGAATTTTTACCTTTTACCAAAGTTCAAGGTTTTGGACACTTTAAGACAGTTTAACCCAGTTTAGGACAGTTTTACCCAGTTTAAGACAGTAAAACCCACGTGTCCTGTCCAAAACCAGTTTAGGACGTCCAAAACCCCAACCCTGAAATAAATAAATGATAATCATAATTATTTATTTGAAATAATATTTATAATGTAATTTATTACAAATATTATTTATTTGAAGGAAATCAAACCTTTTATATTAGGAAGTAAATTTGTTAGGGATTTTAATAGATATTGTTCTAACCTTATAATCTATTAATTAATTAATGATTGATTCTGATATGTTCGAAATAAATCTGCTGTATTTTACTTTATGTCAACAAAGTAAAGTAGTAAACTAATATTTTACAATTCGAGCAATTAATAATAGGTTTTGAAAATTACCTGTACTAAATGCTACCAATGTTTCAAACAAAAATATTTGTGAAATTTTTTTTTTATTTNTTTTTTTTTTTTTTTTTTTTTTTTTTTTTTTTTTTTTTTTTTTCCTTCCAATTTTAACACATTCAGAAATTTTGAGCTCTTTGATTAGTATTATGGGCTGGATCCCATAAACTGCAAAGGTTTAGGAAATTATTTAATTTACAGATATCACACAATCATTGAATATCTACTTTATTTCTTATTTTTAAGCAAAGTGACTTCATTTATCAGATAAACATGTCTTAATAATTTTTCCTCTGTGCAACTTCATCTTTTAAAATTCTACATCGCCAGGGTTTTTTTTTCTTCCTCAGCCTCTGAACTTCTTGAAAGAGATTAGTTTTTGATCCAGAAAAATAGTCAGATTAATTGATTACGTCTGTGTATTGTATAACAATTATTTAAGAAATGAGTAATTTGTCTATTATAAGAGGCTGTTTACAAAGAATTTAATAACTTAGACTCATCAGAGTTAATTAAGAAAGATAATTGGAATTCAAAAAATCATTTTAAATTCAGTAAAAAATATTTTATGAAATCTTGAATTAACTTTGAGTACTTTTAATGTTAATAAATGTTTGAGGTTATTCTGAAAGCATCTTTATTTACTTAAATGTAAAACTATGTAATTAAATCATCTGTAGTAAAGTAGACAAAGTAAACCGATTGTCATTTTGGAATTTCTGAATGTCTTTTGATTTGTTAATTTGATGACAAATTGATTTGTTTGTTAATACTGATGGAAAGTGAGGTTAGTCGGCATCGCAACATATTCCTCTTATTCTTCCTTGTATTTGACTTAATCAAATTTAATTTTTATTTTAGTATAGTATTAATAAATATTTCAGTAATTACTACAAGGTCACAAACAAATTCATAAAATAGTATCTTGTGATTTTAATGAGTATCACTTCTGCATTATTACATATTTTCATTTACTTAATTACCGAACATAAGGATATTTTGGAGAGAAATTAGAATAGATAAGGAAATTATTAATTTAATAGAAAAATAGAAGATTTGTGCAGTTTCATAGCAAAAAATTTAATTGCTTAAAACTGAATATTATAGTTAAAATTGAAGAAAAAAAAAGTTGAATTATAAATCAATATTAAAAGTATCTTGCTTACTTTCATGTAGTTTCCTTGTTCATTAATATTGAATGTATTTACAATTGACAATTTTATAAATATTCTATGCTTAACAAACTTTTTCTTACCACCTAAAAGAAGAATATAAGGGCATGTCTATCTTCTATCTTACAAAAGGAAATAAAAATATTTCACTATTAATGTGCACAGTAGAAAAAAAAGTGATTAAATAATTTTTGTTAAATCAAATTGCTTTTTTGTCAGTGGAAGCATTCTGTTTTGAAAGTGAAAAAATTATTATAGTTCTAAAATGATTTTCATAAGAATAATAAAAAATTTTACACCATATAGGAATACAGTTTTGTGTGGTTGTCTAAATAGGAAGACTGTATGTACAGTTAAAAACGAAATAATAGTAATTTTTCGTTTTGCTATGGACTAAGCAATTGCATTGCTATTTACCAAAAATATATTTATTGATTTATATATATATTATACTCATAGTATCTCGAAAACTTGTTATGTAAAAAAAAAAAGACTTACCCCTTAAATTTACATTTTCGCCTAATATTAATTTAAATTCCTATGTCAAGGAGTTTTTTGTCAAAATCTTATTATGTTTAATACTTTTTGAAGTAAATAATGAATTTTTTCCAAAAAACCACTGCAAACCACCTCTCAACCTTGCTGTGTCCCATGAAAGAATGCCTACATATTAAAACATTTCATGAAATGCTGTGAGAACATGGAAAGCAATGACTAGACAGCTATTTTTTGGATTAAAAATAAATTATTGATGAACAATTTCAGAAACAATATAGTCAAGCCATGATTGTACTTTTTTTTAATAAACTCTATTAATGTAAGTTAATTATAAATGAATTCTTTTATATTTAATGCCTAATTACATTTGTGTTGCTTTTAAAAATAAAATTATCATTGCTGCATTTAGTCCTATTGTCAAATATCTTTATTAATACTTAATCTGATCGTCAATGACTCTACATTTTAGAATACTATTTGAGATTTTTTTTTCTTTTCTTTTTTTATAATTATTTTTCAGAATAAATCTGGTTCTGAACTTATCTCGAATTTTTTTTATCGTTTCCCTTCAACTTTGAGATTGATAATATATACTGTATTAGATTTTGAACTGTTTCAATCAAGTAACTCAATTTAAAAAATGTAATGAAGTATAAATTTCAATAAAAGTAGTTTTTCTACATTAATTAAAATTTTAAAAGTAAGTGTATATTTAAATAATCTAACATTAAATTTGGAAAATTACATTATTTATATCCATTTTTTGAAGTTGAAGTATTCAACCTTTTATGTTCCATAAACTAATCAATTGGCTTATTTTTATTTATTTATTTTATTTTATATTAAGGCTTGGTATTGTTTCACAATGTGAACTTTATATGAATATATAACAGAATCTGTTGTCTTGAGAGAGAGGGTGTTAAATTATTCTTACTTTTTTATTTTAATTTTGAAAATTACTCTTAAACATTTTAATGTTTTTTTGTACAGGAGAAAAGCAACACTCCCATAAAGAAAAAAAAAATCTTTCAAGAATTTTGCTAGAAATATGGATGTTGTTTAAAATTAAAAATATGTAAAAACTTTATTGTAATGTTTTTTTTTTCCTTCTTAAAATTTTAAAGCAAAACTTGTGTCTAAAATTAAGCTTTATCTTTTCATTCCAGATTTCATCTTTTACTTATGAAAATGAGTTTGAAATTAAACATGATTTCACCCCCATCATCATTGCCAGATACTTCATTATTTGGCTCTCCTGTCTTAGATTCTTTGGATGATCAAATGCCATATGAGCCTCCTAGTACAAAATGTAGCATTTGCCGTGAGACTTTCAAAGATCCAAAAGTTTTGATCTGCCTTCATACCTTCTGTCAACAATGTCTAGAAAGAGTTCAAGACAGTCCTGAAAACATTACTTGTCCTAAATGTAAAAGAGATTGTGCTTTGCCTATTCAAGGAGTTGCAGGTCTTCACACCGATTACGCTGTCTCTAATTTAGTTGGTGGATCTTCCACAAATTCGAATTCACCGCTACCTTGCACTGGCTGTAAAAATAAGGAATCTAATGCCGTTGCAAGATGCGTTGATTGTAATAATTTTTTATGCTCTAATTGTGTCACAGCCCATCGATACATGCATTGTTTTGAAGGTCATGAAGTCAGATTCCTAAACCCACATGGTTGTGATGACATGATCAGCGAGAAGATGGTTTGTTGTCCCCGTCATGAGAATGAAATGTTAAGATTTTTTTGTAAAACTTGCAATGAGCTCATTTGTCAAGAATGTGCACTAATTGATCACTTGAAAGGCTCTCACGATTTTGATAATATATCGGATATTGGTCCAAAGCAAATCCAACTTATATCGGAGCTTACAGAGAAATGTAGAGAAAAGGCTCAAGAATACAGATATATAGGCAAGATGGTCAACACTTTTGAATCTCGTTTAGATATGCAGCTTCAAAAAGCTAAAGGTGAGGTTACTGAAGCTTATAACTTTTATTGTAATATGTTGACTGAGCGTAAAACTGAAATCTTGAAGCAACTTGAAGATATTTATAACACAAAGAAGGTGGGATTGCATTTGCTTTCTAATAGCACTCAAGAAATTGTCGAAAATATCGATAAAGTTATTTCGTTTGTCGACAGAATTACTAAGTACTCGAGTATGACAGAAATTTTGACCTTCAAAGGGCTTATTGATTCAAAATTGCAGTATACTGTAGGGTTGATGCCTGATCCTGTTCATGAAGTCAATCTTGAATTCATATCCAACTTCCAAGCTATTGAGGCAGCTGTACGAAATACTTTTGGTTATATCAAGCATGACTCAATTGATTCATCACCAAGAAATCATTTGCCTCAGCCTATTGCAAGACCAAATAGTACTGTCAACTCTGTTAATATTGATTGCTCCTATCAAAACGGGCATATTTTTGATCCAATCCCTGCAAAAAAGTTTGGTTCCACTACTAGTTTAGGTCCTTTTACTCATAGCCTGAGTGATATCACACCTTATGAAAAATGGTCTAGTGGCTCTACAGATATCTTACAAAATGGAACCCATGATTTTTCTTTAACGGTCAATGGCCCGACTATGGATTTGGCAAACAAGTACATTTCTCCTGGAATGTATCCTGTGAAGTCTCAAATAAAACGGCAAAAGATGATTTATCACTGCAAATTTGGGGAATTTGGTGTTATGGAAGGACAATTCACAGAGCCAAGTGGAGTGGCAGTTAATGCACAGAATGATATTATTGTTGCCGATACCAACAATCACCGAATTCAAATTTTCGATAAGGAAGGCAGATTCAAATTTCAATTTGGGGAATGTGGAAAGCGTGATGGTCAACTGCTATATCCAAATAGAGTTGCTGTAGTAAAGAATTCTGGGGATATTATTGTTACAGAGAGAAGTCCCACACACCAAATTCAGATTTATAATCAGTATGGTCAATTCGTTAGAAAATTTGGCGCAAATATTCTTCAACATCCTAGAGGCGTAACTGTTGACGCCAAAGGGCTTATCATTGTTGCTGAGTGTAAAGTTATGAGAGTTATAATATTTGATCAAGAAGGAAATGTCATGCATAAATTTGGATGTTCAAAGCACTTGGAGTTTCCTAATGGTGTTGTGGTAAATGACAAGCAAGAGATATTTATTAGCGACAATAGAGCTCATTGCGTTAAAGTATTTGATTATGAAGGTCATTTTCTTAGACAGATTGGGGGTGAAGGTTTAACGAATTATCCTATTGGCGTCTGCATTAATACCCATGGAGAAATACTCGTGGCTGACAATCACAACAATTTTAACATAACAGTATTTACTCAAGATGGTCAGCTGGTTAGCGCTTCAGAGAGTAAAGTCAAACATGCTCAATGTTTTGATGTAGCCCTCATGGATGATGGCTCTGTTATTCTTGCTAGTAAAGATTATCGTCTTTACATCTATCGCTACATGCAAATTCCGAGTATCGGTATTTAAAGGATTCTCATTACGCAAGTTGTTGTATTTGATGTTATTCAACCATTTTACTAAAGGTCCCATTAAAATAAATTTTTCGACTGCAATAATCGTTTTCGTAAATTGGCGATAAGATACTGCTATTCAGGAGTTTGATTATAGTGAGTTTTCTAACTGCATTGTTTCAAAGGATGTAATTCTGTAATCATGCAGTTAATTTTAAAGCAGCTTGCATAGAAGAGGGAGATGTAACTTATAATTTTTATCTGTTTTCAATTCCTTTATAATTTCAATAACAAGGAAATTTTTAACTAGTAATAAAAATAGTTAAGCATCAAGTTGAAATATACCATAGCTTTCTAGATGTGCACTGTTTTGTAAAAAGCATTGTTATGCTAAAAAACACAGTAAAATGTTAAGTTATTTTGAAATGTCCTATAACTGGCCCTAGTCAAAATAGTCATCAACTTCTTCCATTGTTTGCTATTGCCTATTTTTATGCTATGTTAAGATATAGCAACTGTTTATTTGTTTAAACAAGACATAAAATTTTCAGAAGAAAAAAAAAACGAAAAAAAAAGCCAAAGATAAGCTATGTAACATTTTTCCTGTGATATCTTTAAAGATTGGGGCCACTTGTTAAAAACAATTGTTGAACTCTTTGCCAGTCTGAATTTCATGCCTTAAACAAATAGAAAAAAAAATGCTTGAATTACAGCATCTACCTTTGCCTTTGTGATTCGTATCACACTAAGACTGTTCTCTTCCAATCTGTGCAAGCATTTTTCTCCCTTCTCCCCATCCTTTTTAGGATTTTACAAAGTGTGTTTAACATGGGTGCCAATTTCCCTATTAGTTTTTAAATTTTGTGTTTTCAAAGTTTTCTTTGTATCAGGATTACAAGTTTTTATAACCGTGGCCTATGAAAATCTGCATATAGCTTGTCACTGCATGAAGTTGCGAGTATTTTCTTATTTTAATGTTCATGATTGGGTTTTAAATTAAAACATTTTATAAGTATTTTTTGAAAATTTTTATTCAGCGGTAATTGCATTTTAAGGAATATATAATTTATTTCCCGTTTTTTTCTTAATAAATTTTAAAACATATACAGTAGAGAACGGATTATCCAGAACAAGCGGGACCATCGCTATTCTGATAGCTGATTTTTCTGGTTTTCTGAATCGTTACAAAAAACAGTTTTTTTTTATTGTCTAACTCAACTGAAAAAATATATATATATATAACAGGGTGCGTAACGTTTGTAAAAAGTACTTAAAGGTGCTTTTTTGGGGATTTCGTTTTTAAAAGCTTTTAAAGGTGCTTTTTTCAGCTGGCGTTTTTAAAAAGTGCTTTTTTCTTTCGAATTATTTTTTTTCTCCCTTCAATGATATCTGGTAGATCCCATGCATTTCACGAAAAATGGGGAGTTTGCTACGTAATCATTCAGCCGGGCTTCATGTCGTACCCACGTTATGACTTGCGCATGCGCGCACACTTGAAACCGAAACCCGAGTGCTCCAAGCTCCAATTCGGATATAGAATATCAGATCCTTATGAAATGTTTTTCTTTTTAATTTATTTTAATTTTTTTCTTGTTTATTTTATTTTACTTCTTACACTTTTTTTGACGTAGGGGGTAAGGGTACTTTTGCTCTGAGTTCAGGGTCAAGTTGAATTCACTCCGTGATGTGGGAAAGTACTAATTGTTTCGATTTACACCCGTTTCTTTCTTTTTTTTTTTTTTTTAACGCTAAAACTGTTTATAAAAAGTTTTTGTTTTTCAATAATATCATTGATTGAATATGAATTTTTTGAGTGCTTGAAAATTTTTGTAAAGTGCTTGAAAAGTTTTTAAAAAGTGCTTATTTTTGATTCAAAGATTTGGCTACGCACCCTGTATAATTAGAATAATTTTAAAAAACTTTTACTTCGTTTGGCGGTGTAGGGAACTGATGATTATTTCTAAAATGATGGTAAACATCTTTTAAAAAAGAGAGGATTTTGAAATCTTTAAAGGATAAAAAAAAAATTTTTAAATGGCAGGAAAATGTATCTAATTTCGTGCCGGCTTTTCAGTATTCTGGTTTCCGGATAAGAGATTCTGTACTGTAATATGAAATTATCACCCTTTTAAATTGGTTTTTAGCAAATATGTTTCTCTTTTTTTTTCTAGTAAAGATGATTTTTTATTTTTCTGCTTTGTTTTTAGTGCAATCATTTTAAAGCTTTTAATTACCCTTTCCTAATAGTATAATTTTGCTTAGCTGTTTTTTCTCCTTTTAACAAAGAACTTTCCTAATTTCTGGCTTTACAAAGTGCCATGGCATGAATATTTTTAGTCACATCCAGTTTTATTCTTTCCTGCATAGTAGTGAATTATCAGTATTATTGTTAAGTGAAATTTTTTCTTTTACATATAGTTTTCTTCAGACTTTTTCCCTTTTTAATTTGTTGGTAAGTTAACAGTGTTGTCTAGTGAACTATAAGTGTGAAGCTTTTAAAAGCAAAATTTTATTTACTGTTGAGTTTCAATGGAAATATTTTTAAAAAAAGAGGAGAAATATTGTTTGTTCTCAATTTAAACTTTAAAAAAAATTTTAGGAAAAGTTTTATTGAGTGTCTGTATGAACTAAGGAAAATGATAGGCTCTAGTAATATTTTCATAGGCTGCAGAACAACTTAAGCCACTGTATTCACTGTTCAAGATCTGATTATGTTGCTTTTAAACTATATAAAAGGTTTCTCAAACAAACTTTGATATTTCTCTCCTAATATTAAGCATTTGCCTTTTGACTATATTTATATATTTTTTTAGAATATAAGTTTTAATTTATTTTTAAATGAGCTGGTTCTCTGACTAATCTGTTAAAAATATCATGATAGTTAATAATAACTTGATTGTCATCGTATTAATAATTATAAATATGTGACAAATTTGTACTTATTAATCGTGAAGTAATTGTCTTTTATCCCACATTATACAATCATTTGTTATGGAAGTTCGAGTTTATCCATGCTATCCTTAGCACAGAAATAAAAAATTTTGTATTTTTACATCAATGTATATAATAATGTTGAAACCTTGGCTTGTATGCCAAATTGTTCAACTATTTCACTTACCAAAGAAGATTTTGTTGTAAACTCCTTTTTTTTATGGTAACTATTCATTAATTTTGTTTGCAATGTTTTGACTTGTGTTAAGTTTTAAACTAGTTTTTAGTATTTATCAAGATACTTAATATAGTTCACTTAATTTTATTTTCTTTTTTTTTTCTTTTGGTTGTGTTTTGGCAGCTTATTAAATGTTTATTTTTTAACAATTAAAATCAGTTATTAAATTATCTGAAAGAGCTCTACCTCATTAAGAATTGCAATATAATTTTATGTTGCTCATTCCACTCCTTTTATGTTTTTATCAATTTTTTTTTTGCCTTTAAATTGCAATCATTCCCTGTTTATAATTGCGAAATAAAGATGATTTCTCTTTTGTGGTGTTTTGAGGGATGTCAACTTTTTACATATTTTCCATCATTTTAATTCTGACAACTAAATCGCGAAAAAAAAAAAAATTTTACATGATCTTTTTCTTTAACCCATTTTAGGCCAAACGTTTTATAAAATCATTCTTTTCTTTTTCTTTAACCCATTTTAGGCTAAGCATAGAAATTTCATAAAATGTGGCATTTTCATTGTTAAATTACACTCATTAAGAGAAAAGTTGCCTGCTTGAAAAATGTTTTATTTAAACATGAGCAATATTTTAATTTTGAGAAATGGTGCCTTTATGTCAGAATCATTTAATTTTAACACCAGTTTTTATGACATTTGATTTACTTATTTACAGAACTTGAATTTTAATCTATCATAAAAACATATGATTAATCTCAAATGGAATAATTATAAATTTTCAAAAAAGTCAACTTCGCCAATAACCAGTTTCAAGTTAAAAAAACAAGCATAATTTGAAAATTTTTCAGCAGAAAGTGTTTAATCTGATTGAATAACTAGTATTTTATAGATATTTTCAGAAATCTTGAAAATAGCAGAAAAGTAAAATTAGAGGGGGGGGATATCAATGCTAATAGAAATATATTTACTGAGATAGTGCGTTTACACACCTTTGGCCGAAAGTGGGTTGAGTTTGTGAATACTCATTATTTTCAGTTATTTGTCAGAATTTGGAATTAAAACCTTGTGCATGCACAATCAGCATTTAAATTTAAAGTTATGTTTGAAACTTAAAAATAAGATTATTAATTTTTATGTATTTGAATGTATTGTGACTTTTTTTTTTATTTGTTAAAAAGAATGTAACTTATGTACTAATATAAATATTTTATTTTTATTTTATATTAATGTGAACAAAATATTTCTCTTAGTAGGAATTTTTTTTATCTTGCTATATTTCAGTTGGCATCCCTGGTGTTCTTCAGATTTCTTAAAACCCAAATGTAAGACAATCAGTTTTTTGTTTTTTTTATTTTTTAATATAATCAGTTTTTTTTTAATTTAATATTTTTGCTTTAAAAGCTGTTTTACACAAGAAACAATTAAATAAGCAATGCTTTTCTAATTAGTAGCATTCCAATTCTCTATTTTTTAAGAAAAAAGTTAGTCGTACAGTATTTGATAGGCGATGTATTGAATTGTCTATCCGTGTAATTTTATGTTTAAATATTTAATTTATTTTTAAATTTATATCTATTAAAATTATATTTTCTAAAATAACTTGGAACTTCTTAAGCTTACCTTAAAAAAGATTAATTATAGATAACTCAATATCTTAAAATAGCAACATTTGTTTTAATACTAATGATATAATTTAATATATTAATAATATATTTAGTTAATGTACTTAATTTTTAAAGGTATATTTTCTCAGGTTAATCAGTTTGATTTCTTAATCTATAATACTCAGTAACTTCCACTATGGAATATCACTCTTATTCTATCATGTTTCAATGAAGAAAAAAACATTTGATTGTTGGAATTAAATTTGGAAAGAGAAAAAAAATCATGCTTGCTATAATAAGTTTTCTATGTATTAAAATTTTCTTTCATTATTTCATCATAAAAATTTTTATATACAAGATAATTCCTTTAATTCTATTATTTGAAAGAATATGTCTTTGTAAGATTTACAATTTAATCATTTTAGTATTCTTAACAATAATTTTAAGATTGTTCTTTCATAAACTGGGTTGAAATAATTTGATGAACATTTAAATTCTTGGTTTTGCTTTATTGTAAATGATCTCAAGTTTATTGTGCTCTTGTTATTAATTGTTATTTATTGCTATATATTTGCTTATTTTTTCTGGTTTGATTATTTATTGTAAAATTTTAGAACACTTTTTTAGGTTATATTGTTATATTTGTTAAGTTATTGTGTGAATGTCTTAATGTTACATATTTTTAGGATTTCCTAAGAATATGGTATTAATAGTTGCTACCTTGATAGTTATCTCTGTGGTACCATCTGGTAGTGTAGCTTAACTGGTTTTTCTTACAAATTTTTAAACATTAATTTTAATTTGTAGTTATTGTTCACAGAAGTGGATCAAGTTAACAGTACTTTTTATGCCATCATTACTCTATTTTCGGATAAAAGTAATTTTTGTAAAACTGTTTTACATATTGTATGTTATGATGAAAAATAATTGATGTTGCATTGAAATTCCAGACTTATGGTCTTTTGAATAGCCTTTTTAAAGTGTTGTTGTTGCAGTGTTGATTCACACTTGCATTGAAGTATTTTTTCCTCCCAATAGGAACTCATAGCAGTGATGTTCTATTGGCACTGTTAGATCTACTAACAATGGTTTTTGTGCCAAGGAAAAATAAATGTAATTTTTTAAAGTTTCCATTTGAAATTTTATTTTTTGCACAGGGTTGATAAATTTAGTAAATTAAGAAAAATCATTAAAAAAAAAATTTAAATGTTACTTGCACAATGTTAGACTTTTTATACACTATTAAAAGTATTTTTTGTATATATTTTTTAAGTTTTTCTTGAT